ATCTATCTATCTATCTATCTGTCGCTATGATATACTACACTATACACTACACATGATTTAAATGATATAATCATAGGCCACAGCGGTATTACACCAGTAGACCGTAGCATATGAGCAGCTAGTAGAGGGGAAAAGATGCATCCCTGTGTTCCATATGTTTCACTGGTCGTGGCTGTCGGGGTATAATCCTGCCTCCACTCATGTGGAGCAGCAGCTCTGAGAACTGACTGGTGAAGTGTCAGACAGCCAGAGAAATATCAAACAATACATGTCCTCCAAAACCCAAAATCTGGCAGGAGAAATATGAGAACTGAGTGGAAATTTATGAGTAGGAAACACAGATTTCTTTACAGCAAAAAGACAGATGACGATACCAAAAGCACAAATGCTGAACGCCTATTTCTCAGTTGGTGAACTGGGCAGTTTGTGATTTTGCATGAGGCCTACCATAACCTGAATAATGTGAGTCTGACTGAGTCGTGACCCTCTTCTACATGGTTGAATTTTCATATTCTTACAGCTGAGGTCTATAATGTGGTACAACATGGACTGTAGGTGTACAAATTTGCACACACTAGGTATACAAATGCATTCACCCACACACCGTCAACATATGTGCTTGCTTTTGAGGGCAGGTGTTAGAACAAATTACAGCAACATATGTTCAATTTGGATGTAGATCTATATGTGGAACAGATGACAGTTCTCTTTCTGTGTACAGCATCACCTGCATGGATGCTGCATTTTTTGTCAAATTGTTTATAGCTGTAGCTAGCCTTATTGTAGATTACATTTTAATCATACTGATTGGTTTGTGGCTGGGTATGTTTAAAAGACCATGCAGGGTCAGGATGTTCACTCTCTCTCTTTGGCTTATAGTTAAAAGTATGATGTAAGCGTAGAAGGAGAGGCAGCACAGGATGTTCCCCAGGCTTGTGTGGCTTGTGATATTGACCACCCACTGACCGATGGACAGACACAAAGACTGACAGATAGACCTTCTCCTCTCTGCTCCTGCATGTCTTCATGCTTTTGTGTGATTGGCAGTTGAGTGACTAAGCATTTTGTTTTTTATTGGCCCTCAGGAGTGGCAGGACTATCGTCTGACTTGGGTCCCTGAGGAGTTTGATGGAATGATGAAGGTCAGGCTGCCCTCAAAACACATCTGGCTGCCTGACGTGGTGCTCTACAACAAGTGAGTCACTCACTCACTCACCCTCCTGTCCTCACTTCAGAGGGCTCTCAAGACACATACAGGGTTATAAACATGCACACACAATTCATATATCAACTTGATATTTTTTTAAAGCTAACACTCAAGTGATTTGATCCAGCTGCCACCATTGTAGGTCATTTATGATGAGAACATCAATAAAATGCCAGACGTTTTACTGTGTAATACATGTCGGCCCGCCACACATGACTGAATATGTCCACTGTTATATGCTCAAATCACTCATGCTTCATTACTAGACAGCACCTCCAAGTCTCTTGAGACACTTCAAAGATAGAGTCATCTGCATGACACGCCCAGATAGTGGTGTACATGTACAGTAGATGTACACAGACACAGTAAATGCATACAGTTAACTTATAGGAAGCACTTGCACATATTTACACAAACTGCTATTTATTTTTGGGTTGTTTAAAATGTATATGTTTATGTGTTCTGCCTGCAGAGGTTCTTGATAAACAACTGTCTTTGCATTTTAATTTAAAGTCTGTACCCAGGACCATTCCTTGCTGTTTCCTTCTGATCTATGATATCTAGTATAATTTGAATTACTCCACTCTAAAATATGCAGCTGTAAGTTTGGATTCTGCTGCTTACAGGCCGTGCCTACAGTGTAGACCAACTATAAAGCAATAAGGGCCCCCAGGGGCAAAAATCCACATCCACAGCTCCACACTTTGTGCATTGTGTATGCAACCAGTTACCTTCAAGTTCCCATCAGGTACAGTGCACATAGAAACCAACAAGTACTGCTGGAATTCTTTTTAGTTTAATTAAACACCAGTGTATGTGGAATATGCACCATGGGAGCACAATATAAACTAAAATCTAGTTTTAATTAAGTCTTGAAACTATATTAGAACACTGGGAACACCACTGCAAGACCCACCTTAGTTGAAATTTAAAAAAAATCCCTGACTAAATTTGCAATTAATCAAATTACCTAAAATCATTGGGCAATGAACCCGGGGCTTTTGGGGACCCTGGGCTGTTGCCTGCTTTGCTTAGTGGTTAATCCAGACTTGGGTGGTAAGGTCTTGGCAATATGGTTAAAATCAACCATATCAAATACTAAAAAGTGAAAAGTCTTCACGTGTGCAAAAACAGAAACTTTTCGTGTTTTTAATTAGGTTTTGCTCTCCTTACCTGCGTGCCATGTCGGAGGTAACGATGTTGCAGACCACTTGTCTCAATGAAATGGAAACTGAGTGTCAGCCTACAGTATGTAAATCAGCTCATCAGAGTACAGTGATATGTCTGGCCTTCTCCTCTTTCCCGGCCTCACTCCTTACTTTACTAAAGATTAGAAGATCCCTGACCCACCGAGCTCTGGATAAAATGATCCTGTTAATCCCACAAACCCCAGGTCGTTATGCTATCCTCCAAGTCTTCTCCACTGCCTCGAACTTTTGACAGTCGCCTAAACGGGAGCATTAAGCTCTGGATACAGCGGCTAATTTTAACATCTCAATTTGATTTCGTAAAAAAATTTAGTGTTTGCTCAGTGTATTTTAGCAGGTGGGTCAATCAGTCAAAACGTATGAATTGCCCTCTTGCATATGTCACATCTCACAGCGTTAGCCATCACTAATTAGTTCTCTTGCCTTAACTTGAGTTTAAGCGAAATTCAATCTACAGCTTTAGTGTTGTCAGCTGACTAATTCGAGCTGTTTAACTCGACCTGGTCTGACCTGTGAGCCATGTTTCCTGTCTAGACTGCGTGTTCATCATGTTCCTTGTGTTTGTAGAAGCAGGTGTGTGTGACCCTGCCGCCCTGAGACACTTTAAAGCCTCACCCCTTTAACCTCCACATCAGTGTGTATATGTGTATGTTTGTGTATCTGCGTGTGTCCTAGAGCTCTTTAGTGTATTGCATAATGAGATGTGTCATGTTCCACTGCTCGGGAAACATGGCTGCTCATTATACTTTTGGTTTACAAAATTGTTTTTTTTTATTCAAAGGTCTGACAGTCCTTTTCTTTTTATGTCTCTGTCCTCTTCCTCTTTTTCTCTGTCACCCTGTCTCTTAGTGCTGATGGGGTGTACGAGGTGTCGTTCTACTCTAACGCAGTGGTCTCATACGACGGCAGTATCTTCTGGTTGCCACCGGCAATCTATAAGTCTGCCTGTAAGATCGAGGTCAAGCACTTCCCCTTTGACCAGCAGAACTGCACACTGCGCTTCCGCTCCTGGACGTACGACCGCACTGAGATTGATTTGGTGCTCCGTGCTGACGTGGCCAGCATGGACGACTTCACGCCAAGCGGAGAGTGGGACATCATCGCCCTGCCAGGTAGACGAAACGAGAACCCAGCCGACCCCACCTACGTGGATATCACGTACGACTTCATCATTCGCAGAAAGCCTCTTTTTTACACCATCAACCTCATCATCCCATGCGTGCTCATCACCTCGCTGGCAATCCTGGTCTTCTACCTCCCGTCTGACTGTGGAGAGAAGATGACGCTCTGCATCTCCGTGCTGCTGGCGCTCACTGTGTTCCTGCTGCTGATCTCCAAGATCGTCCCACCCACTTCACTGGACGTCCCTCTCGTGGGGAAGTACCTGATGTTCACCATGGTCCTGGTCACTTTCTCTATCGTCACCAGTGTATGTGTGCTCAATGTACACCACCGCTCGCCCACCACACACACCATGCCCCCTTGGGTTAAACTGGTGTTCCTCAACAAGCTTCCTGCTTTGCTCTTCATGCGCCAGCCCAGGAACAGCTGCGAGCGCCAGCGGCTGCGCCAAAGAAGGAGGGCCCAGGAACAGAGGGAGGGTGGGCGCAGTGGGGAAGCAGGGGCTTTGATGGTGGGGCTCGGCCTGGGCAGTGCTGGAGGGAACGGAGGGGGAACCACCACAGGGGTGTTCGGCAAGGAGGACAGTGACCCTTGTACCTGCTACGTGAACCGGGCTTCTGTTAAACAGTTTGGAGGAGATCTGGGAGGTGCAGGAGGGGGATCCATGGACGGGCTGAACAGGGTGAGGGAAGGACGGGAAGGGGGATCTGGAAACCTGCCACGGGGGAAGCAAGCAACAGGAGGTCCTGCTCTGACTCAGGCCCTGCTGGCTCAAGCCTGTCCGGGCTTTGAGGAGGCTGTGGAAGGAGTACGTTTCATCGCCAACCACATGAAGAGTGAGGATGATGATCAGAGTGTGAGTATTATATTATCTGTATGTTACACCATTATAGTAGTGTTTGTTGCTACTTATCAGAGCCCAACCATTGCTAGACTTTTTAGGGTGATTGTGACATTGATACTCGAGAAAGATAAAAAATGAGATAAGAGTATATTGGCTGATATTTATTTTCTCATGTAAACAAATTATTTAAAGCTTCTATAATGAATATTTTTATGTTAACATATCAAGTGACTACTACTACTATTGTGAAAGGTGTCGCATGTAGTCACAAACCCACTGAAAATTATCATCCACTTCTGCATTTCCCCTCAGTTGTATTGTTTTAGCTCACTTATGGCCTTCAACCTTACCGTTTGAATTCACTCCCGCCATTTTCATCAGCGGAATTTCCAGATTCCAAAAACACTGATAAACCACTGTACGCTACCTGTCCAGCACCAAACAACAGACAGACACAGTTATCAACTAGCTGGTGCACAAAGCGGAGCATTTAGCTGCCAGATATTATTTGTAAAAACCAAAACAGAGCTAAATGAAGAGTAAATGTCGGGCTTACATTCATCAGGTAGTCAGAGACACAATATCTAGCGTTGAGCGTAGATATGTAAATAGGCAACTATTAGATAACACATTCACCATCTCAACTTTATAAGCTGATAATGTCAGTGTTTGTTTACAGCTATTTGCTCTGCACCCAAGTGGTCAAAATGTAGGTTTAAACAAATAAACTCATAAAACAAATTAGATTTTTTAAGGTAAACACAAAACCACAAAAACAAAGTCAATTATACTGACTGATGATTCCACCAGTAAATTTTTTACTGCTGCAGTTTACTGCTCGGCCGTGTCTTGCCAAAATACACTTCAATACCGATATATATCTGATAATACCATCCTGCCAATGTATCGCTTGGGTTCTTCTCTATATTAAAATGAATTATTATCTTGTCTGTGTGGGGATAAAATCATAGCATAGAGCATCCCGAGCCGCACAGATCCGTGCCAAATCAAGTTATAGTGACGACAGAGGAGTACAGCAACGTCGATTAGCTCTGCCATTTGAAACGCATGGGGGACTACACCAGATCATAAGCAAAGTAGACAGATCTGGTGACGCAATCATACCCCTCTGAATATTCAACACAGACATGTAATTATAGCAGCGGCATGACGCTTGCATAGAGAAGGAGTACAACTGGAAAGGCGCTGGAATAGAGGAACCAAGACAGCAGAGTGAGGGTGGTATGTTTTATCGCTTTTCCTCAAGGCATCTTAGGAAAGCAGCCTTCTCTCTGAAATAAACTGACACAGGAATTAACAATCCTCTGTTATTCTGTCCATCATCCACATAGTTACCAACCCGTTGCTATACCAACCGCTTTTAAAAATCCCCCCTCTCCTGGCACAGTGCATGGCGTGTCAGTCCTTCCCCCTCCCCCTCGTCCTCCTCCTCCCCCTTTCCCCCAAGTCATCATCAAAGGGGTTACAGGGTCAGCACCCGCTGTCTCTCTGCCCTCCGTCACTCTCTCCCTCGTCACTCCCGTCCTTCTCCTCCTCCTTGACTTGTGTTGGACCTCATCAGAGCTGTGTGGCAGAGCGAGTCTCTGCTCACATTAACCCTTCACCTCCATTAACCCTCTGCATAGGGAAAGGCAGAGGGACAGATAGAGAATGAGAGGATGTGAGAGAGTGTGATTGTGCTCACCTTAATCTTTTTCTTCACCCCATACTCCCTCACCCCCCAATCCACAGGTGAGCGAGGACTGGAAATACGTTGCCATGGTGATTGACCGGCTCTTCCTGTGGATCTTCGTGTTTGTGTGCGTGTTCGGCACATTGGGCATGTTCATGCAGCCGCTTTTCCAGAATTACACAGTCAAGACCATCACCAGCTCGCCTGGCTGACCGATCGCTGACAGCGAACACAATGACGGACAGCTCCCCCAACCAGTCAGCACAGCAGGACAAGGGCTGGAGGTGGTAGGGGGGCAGGTCTTGGTTTTATTGTCTGTTGAACTGGAACCAGAACTGGAACTGAACAGCAATCACGCCCATTACCTTTATAGTAACGTTTTTTGCAACGAACAACAGTTTTTCTTGTATGAAGAGAAAAAGGAAAACACCATCATACTTATACCTGCAGTTTTTTGTCCATATGTTAAATGGACTGACCTCCCCTTTCTGGTGGAAAGGTCCCTCCCTGCTCTCCTCTTCAGCCAGTCAAGGAGCGAAGATGTTCTGATTTGCTCTTTGTTGAACCTCAAGGCAATCAACACTTTCTGCTTGACGCTGACTGCTTAATTGACACATGACATGCCCGCCTTCAACTATGACATTACTCATTCATAATATTGACTGATGTCAGGAGCTAATCAGAAAGGGAAGGGAGGTTCATATCAAGGTTCTTATACATTTATTTTATTTTTTCAGAAATCCACTATGTCAGTGAACTGATTCAGTATATTTTATCATAGCATAGCGGCTTACCACAGTATAGCATTAGGAATATATTATTAAGATTTCTCTATGTGTTAGCTCATGCAAGGGTCTGTTGGTGGTAGAGAGGCTACGGTGTGTTGTATGATTGTATAGATTAAACAAGAATGTGATATAAACTGTATACACAGCCTGTGATGCGCACACTAACACAATATGTGTACAAGCGACAGATTGTGATGGAACATACATAGAGGGGACTTGAATTAAACAAAGAACCAGGTTGCATTATTAGATGAAAGTCAAAAGGATAAAGTAATAGATTATGCATGGACAGTTTTTTGCTTAGAGAGTTGTGCACATTAAGTAGAGAACAGCAGCAGCCTGCTGTGACAGGGTGCGCAGCTGCAGTGAGATGAGTCTAGCTCCTACGAAACTGAGGAATCACAGCCAAGATGGTGGATAGGACCTCCTGTATGATGGGCCGTGGTTTCTCCAAGATGGAGTATTTAGAGCTCAGTTGAGATGGCGCAAAGATCAGTATTGGAAAAAGTTACATGTACATCAAATTATATTGATAGAAGGATGGGAATTTTATCATGGAAATTAAGCTATTGTGAGTATTAATATGTAATTTCATATTTCAGTATGTAATGTTCAGAGCATATGTATACATGTATGCGTGTGTGTATGTATGTGTATGCGTGCCCATTACCAATGCATTTCACATCCTGTCAGTATACCAAGAGTTCCAGAAAGAGCATATTAATATGTGCTTCCCTCCTTCCCTTCTATTCATCTCTGGCAACATCTCTTCAATTCTGTCCCCTTTATCTGGTCTTCCATGGACAAACACATTGCTGACATTTAGTCTAATTAGTATTACGATTATCTACATTCTCTAAACACCTATTCACGGCAGTTTTTCTTTTCATCATGGACCGGCTGAATTGTCTTATTTCCCAGGTTCCCTGACAAACCAAGCGAGAAGCAAAAGGTCAAATAAATAAATTAAATTTCCAATAAACAAGATAGAAATGACAAGAGGGCCAACAATGAAGTAGCTGGGACAGGCAATATGTTACAGATGCAAAATCATAAGCAAAAAAGAAAATGTATATGGCAATGGCAGTTAATAGTAATGTTTTATGATATTGTTTCAGCTAAGAAACAACAGACTGGAAAAAGAAAAAAGAACAAAAAACAGGATAGTCTGACCACAGCAAGCACAATCCAGATAGTCAGGAGGACTAAAGCAGGATAGGCAGAGACAAAAGACTGTTAGTGTTGTTACTGCATAGGAAAGCCACTATAAAACTCTGAAAAAAGCTGTCTAATCCTCCTCTCACTGTCTCACTCTGTGAGTTTCCCAGGCTTTTTACAGTCGTGTGGCCAAGTCTGCAGCTCATCTCAGTTCTGGACTGGGAGCTGCCTCTCTCTCTCATCTCCTCATCTCTTCTCGCGCTCTCTCTGTCTCTCTCTGTCTCTCCTTGTTCTCCTTTTCTCTCGTCTCTCTTCTCTCCTTCCTCTTCATTCGTCTCCTCCCCTCGTCTCTCTCATCTTTGTCCGCTGTCTCTCTTTGTCTCTGTCTCTGGAGGATGGGATTACCCCAGGGGATCCCCAACAGATCCCGGACGAGTGTGAAAAGCCTATCAGAGACCTGTGGAAACTGTAGGCTGCACAGCCCCACACGGACAAAGTGCTGCTGTCCAATTTTTTTCTCTCTTTGACCTTTCCACTATCCTTCCTTTCTTCTCACTTCCTCCCTCATTATGCTCCCCCCATCTTTCACCTTTTCCTTCCTGACTCTCAAATCTGCTCCTGTGCACACCTTAACCAGTCCAATAAAGGTTGTAGGTTCAGATTAATCAAAGTATGTGTGGCATGTTTTTGCTCTCCCACTCACACACACACACGTAACCTATCTATAAATGACTGTATTACCCAGACTTCCCATTAATCTTACACCACAGGATAGAACGAAAGAAAGAGATGTTTCCTGGCTTTCTAATATTGAGGCTGGTAACTTCCTTTTTACATATTTACACACGCACACACACACACACACACACTCCTGCTGTGCTTTTTTCTTCTAGGAAGCAGGAATTTTTAAACAATCATGGGTGTAGGGCCCAGCCAAGGTCACTTCACATTCTCATTATGCTGCTGTAAAAACAGGAATGTGGGTACAGTATGTGCCTGCTCTTATGCACCCTATGATTTGTTTTTGATGCAGAGGAACAGTGTGATGAACTTGAACACACCACAGCAGAGGTAACGCACTCATATCAAAGACACAACCTCTTATACAGTATATATCATATGTCATTAACATAACGTGGATATCTCTTTTTCAGTGACTGACAGATCTATCTTCAATCTACATCTACCCACTGCTGGAATAAAGTGCTGTACCAGCATGTGCAAAGAAAAATTAAAGGTAATGCAATAATCCCCTTTTAGAAATGCTGGGTTCGATTGAGGGCCACTTGCTGCCCCCTGGTGCCCATGGTGGGTTCTTACTTATGGTCTCTGCTGTGATAAAAGCACAACCAACATTGTGTTGTTAGAGTAAAGGTCACATTTATTCTTTCCAGGGAGAAATTCCTTTGCTTGAATGTGTTACAAAATACATGAAAAGAAAAAGGAATAGAGATACATTCACATATTCAACAATGAATGACAGGTGTTGAAACTGATTTAAACTCTCCATATTTTTACATAGCATTAAATACAGTTTGTAGTGGATTGATTGGACATTGCGGACACAAATACACAAACACCAAACATTTACTGCTCAAGTGACAATTAGACCTGTATATGTGTATTTGTGCACGTGAAGTCCATAACAGGATGTCCCTCACAGGTCTTCTCTCCTGTCTTAACTGTTTCCTCCCTGGAGCGTGTGTGGGTTTGCAGAGTGGATGTCTTTGTGCTGAGAGAGCACTCACTTCTTCTTCTCTGGCTTGTCGTTGTACTCCAGGAAGAAGTCGTTACAGGCCACAGTAAGCGCTCCGACCAGTATAATGAACTCGGTGAAATCTACCTCTCCGTCATTGTTGGAATCCAGGTCTCCCATCACCTTATCCACTGCCTCCTTATCCTGAGCATTCTGCATGTGTTGAGGATATAAAACAGAAATGTAGGCTGGATCCATTTTATGAAACTTGTGTGTGCATCTTGTAGAACCTAAGAATGTATCTCCTTACCCCCAGGTAATTGCCGAGCTCTGCGGTAAGCATCTCCTTGAGCTCAGCCCTGCTCAGTGTGTATTTGTCGCCCTCGTTTCCAGAGTACTTGTGGAAGGTCTGGATCATGAGCTGCATGGCGTTCTCCAGGGTGGAGGCATTCTCTGAGTTGGGCAAAGACATTCTGGAGAAGGATAGAATAAGAGGAAGCGTGGGAGGAGGAGAAAGCAAGAGCAGTCCATGTTAGCTGCAAAATCTACTCTCTGGAGCACGGTCGACAAGTCTGCTGCAAATCAATACAAGTTAAAGACTCTCGGTTGCTTTCTCTGACACACACTCTTGTTCTTTGTTTTTTCTCAGACACAATGCAAGACTGGCAGATAGATGCATGGACAAACACTTATAGAAAACTGAATCAAAGCTTCAAACTGATGTTCTATGTGGTTTCTAAACATATCTATCAAGTGACAGGAGAGGTATTTGGCAGAGTTGGAAACCCTGCACAGCGTGCTCTATTTCCTCATCAGGAGTGTTTCCTCCCCGCCAATGGTCCTGATAAGATTTTTCTACAGATAAACTGATCCTCCCTCTGTTTGTTGCTTTTCCCCAGTGAGAGGACCTCTGGGAGTGCAGACATAGTCAGCAGCCGGACATGTGAGCCAGCTGATAAGAGTGAAACTCTAAACTGGTAAAACAGCCAAACCAGTGGAGGACATGTAACCAGGACACGCAGAGGCAACCTGATCTGGCTTTTACTTTAGCCCCACCGGATGGCAGAAAACACCAGAGACAGGTGTAAAGCCTTGCCTTTCTTGAACCTACATCACCTCTGAACTGTAAAGACTTTTCCTAACTGTCAATCACATCTTACACCATTCTCTCCTCGTGGAGAGAATGTTCCAAAAAATATTGGAAAGACATTTTTGGCAAGCCCTTTTTTAAGATAAATGAAGGTTCCATAACTTATCAGTGAATAAACAGAAAGCTCTTCCTATAGTTAGAAACAAGCGCTGAGAAATACAGAGACACAGCTTTCAGAATTGAAGTCTGTGATCTACATCATTTCTTACCTGAGTGGAGGACGAGTGGTGGCGTGCTGGTCAGTTGCAAAGAGAGAAGGCAAAAGCGACTGATGAGGAGGATGAGGAGGACAACGTCTTAAATACATCCCTCACTCCACCCATCCCACTTATCCCTTCCTCCTCTCTCCCTCCTTCCACCTGTTGCTCCTATCCTCCTCCCCACCCCCCAACCCCTTCTCCTCTTCCCCCCCTTCTTTGTTTTTAGCATCAGACACCTGCTGTTCGCTGAATGGACACACGAAGGATTCACCTGCCCCCCCCCCATTGCAGTTGGGATAACATATTGACGAAAAACACTAATGGCACTGCATCTGCCGCAAGACATTAGGTAAATTGAAGTATGCATAATATGACCACAAGCCACACCACAAATGCCATGGTAAACTTTAAATGTGGTCTTGTTATTCTCAAATGTCAGTCTGCATAGAGATTAAGTAAATCAGAATATACCAATAATAAATAGTGAGTTTGGGGGACATGGAATTAGTTTGCAACATTCATACTTTGATGAGTTTAACACACTTGCCCAACAACATTTCAGGGCGCACAATGAGTTGTGGTGAGGTGACAATGACATATCACTTACTATGCTACTGCTCACTATTCTGACAGTGGATTATCCTGCTACCCTGTTGTGCAACCATTTTGTTCTGCTTGTCAAAACAAAGGAAAGGCTTAGAGGGAGTGCTAAAATAAATACTCTACCAAGACAGAGATGAATAAATTGATAACTCTCCAAATATGTCTGGTTTTAAGCTGTATTGGGATATGTGTGGGGGTAAGGTGTTTACCGTGGGGGGGGTCATTTCTGATACAGTATCCGAAGGATTAGTGTAGCACCGATGAATGGAACCATCACACCTGGCAGCCATGCAGCGAAATCCCCATACAAAGACTTTGCAAAGCGCCTACAAAGGCAAACATGCTCTAATGCAGAGAGTAGGGGCACACACACGTGCACAAAGAAATTCACACTTCAAGGTCCAAAATACACTACATGCATGCACAAAACATAGAAAAGAGGATCAGGATACATATGCAAACATACTTTAAATAGTTTATCCGGTACATTAGACTTAAAGCAGTATAATGGATACAGTGAGAGGCAAAGGGCATAAAAAGTAAATGAAGAGCAAAAGTAAATGACAGAAACACATACAATCATCTGCACTTGAATAAATTATCTAGGAGACCATGCTTATGAAAGCAAACAGCATCAAAATTAATGCACAAACTCTATAATTGTCATGAAATGTATGTTTGATCTTCCATCTGAGTGCATCTTCTTGTCATTGCTGCAGTATTGTGTCATTGAGTGGGAAAGCACAGTATATGCACACTTGTATGCACCATATGTGTGTATGTATAATGTTGCAGAACAGAGGATGGTGCACAATAGGAAGCGCATACTGTATGTCAGGATCTGGTTGCAATAGTTGATGCATATAAAGTCTGCTGAGTTTGACTAGTCAGGGATGTCACAGCTATATTTAGCAAGTGTTGCTGGTGGCTGTGGAAGGAACAGGTATCATTGCAACCATGGCTGTGGGACAATGTCAAATCATATGAGAAAAACCACTGTACACAAACAGTACTTTGTTTGGTTTCCAGCAAAATTTAATGGAAGTTAATGGGTGAAAATGAGACACTTTATGAAAATGCAAATCCAACTAACCAATTAAAAACTAAACACAACATAGTTTTTTTATATAAAGCTTTTATTTTGAAAATACAGTAAGTATCCTTTGTATAATTAGTATAAAAAAAGACACTCTCAGCTCAGAGTCCTTCAATGTTTCATTGATGGTGGGGATCAATAAGTTGAAAAAAAAGGTTGATCTGGACAGACAGTAGGTGTAGTTGAGAGCATTATAAAACTGGTTGATTAACTGTATGAAAATGATTATGGACTGTTATAAAAAAAATGTTTACATGATGTTTGGAACATTTGGAAATGCAAAAAAAAAAAAAAAAGTGGCTGTTAATTTGCTGATCCACCAAACACTGCAGCTTAAGCATCTATGAAGCATCTGCATTGGATCCACACTTGCTCTGACTGAGGGAGTTGGCCACGTAGCCAATCAGAGAGAGATATTCCTGGAAGCTGACCTTTCCATCGTTGTTCTCATCCAGTCCCCGCTTCAGCTCCTCAACGGCAGAGGAGCTGTTTGTATCCTGAACACAAAGGCATACACAGAAGCAGAAGGGAAATACTGTTAGTGGTAATATGGTAGTTGGATTATTTATTATTATTTATTTATTTATTATGGATTATTTATGTACAGCAAAGGGTGATAAAGAACACAAAATGTTATGAAGTTCCGTACCTCCATGATGCCGCCAAGCTGTTTAGATACCAGTTTCTGGAAGCCTTTCTTGTCTAGGTTGTCCTTCCCCTTGGAAGAACTAATAAATGTGGTCACAACGGTCTTAATGGCTGCCTCCATATCTAAAGAGAGAAACAGGAACAAAAAGCCCAAAGGAGAATTGAATGTAGGAAGTGGTGAGGTGACACATCATCACATCGGGTACAGCAATTATATTACTATGAAAATATATTTACATTGGATACAATGGATGTTCTGGGATAGATAAAAGGCTTATTTCAGTTATTGAGTGCATCATTAGAGAAAAGAGCACATCATAACCTTGGAATGCTTGTGCGCAGCTGACTGATCAAGATTAGGGATTCATAATTAACCAAAATTATATATTATAATGTATTAAAACATTACAGTATTTCACTTCATTTAGTATAGGTGATATAATTGGAAACATACTGACATAAAATACATTGAGTGCAGTTAAAAACTAAACAAATAAATTGTTGTAATATTGCTATCGAAGCCGGGCAGCACCGAATGAGAAAGTGTTAGATGGATCACATCTTGTAATTGTATTTAAATTGGATATGTTTGGATATGTCCCCTCACATAACAATGTGAGAAAGGTGAGACAAACAAGTGATGTCAGCATAGAAGAGGAAGGGAGAGAAGAGAAGAGGAAGGGGCCGAGCCTATGGAGGCTCTCTGAGGTAAACAGAGCAAGAGAGAGGGAGTGATGGAAGGTTGAAGAGGAGGGGAGTCTCTGAGGTAAACACAATGGGAGCTGTGATCTCTGACGGTGGACATCTGATCCCCAGAAGCCAGCGGGAGGCCACAGGTTCAGATTTCTGCCTGCTGCCCATCTGCTGCAGCACACCTCCCCTCACACTGTAGGAATACACTGCATACTGTTCTCAAGTATGAACTGACAAACATCACACAGCACAAATAGATTAAACAAGCCTGAAACATCTAATGCTGCTGTTATTGACAGAATCTCAGTCGTGTGAAGCTAAATCCTCGGCTGAAGGCGGGCAGTTTTTGGTTCGTGTTAGTCAACGCTTATTGCTAGTTGTCTCCTCATTGGATGTCAAACCTACTATCACAATAGCTACGACCCAATTCCATATTACATGTCAATTCTACACACATTTTGATTATGTTGTACATACTGGAAAAATGACAAAAGTCTACTTATCCACTTATTTTTTGAGTGTGCTGTTGATAAACACTAGGTATTTCCACTGAAGGCAGTTTGACATGTGATAGTAGAAAAAGCACAGGTCTAAACAATAAAGTTAATGATGCTTCAATTCAATTTAGCAGCTTCACTTTTAGTGTCCTGGTATTGCGTGCTGGCTCACTGTCACACTGTGACAGCTTACTGAGACACTTGAATAGAACGGAGCCATTGTTAATGTTATAAGTAACATCTGTGCTTTTCCTACCATGACAAGTCAAGATGTCTGCTGTGAAAAAGGCCTGTCTCACAGTGCAATGCACAAATTAAATAGAGAAGCTACTCACAGCTGCAAAAAATAAAATGAATATAGTAGTGGGTGATGAAAGAGCTCCAGGAATATAGAATATATATATAGATATATATATATATATATATATATATATATATAGAATATATAAGAAAAACTAACAAAAATATTTTTTGATAAAACAGACCCATGGACACCTCAGAAAAGATCAACTAACTAATAAATCCTACATTTTGATGTCTGTTTGTAATATTATAAAGCTTGATTGCCATACATCTTTGTACGTATTTTACCAGTTCTTGTTAGTATGAAATGATTAAGAATGCTGATTTTTGTATACTACCTTAAAAAACATATTATGACAATTCTAAAGTCTAAAGTATATACTGTATGCAGTTAGTATGTAGTATGGAAATTTGGTTGCCATCCATAATCATAAAAAATAATTAAGAGTATTAAGATTAATACAGAGCAGGAATGATTATCAAAATAGTTGTCAATTAATTTTCTGTCAATCGACTGATCAGTTAATTAACTAATTGTTTCAGCTTTACTTGTATAAACTGTTGGGTAGTTTAATTTATAGCTAAATTCATCATACTTCTAATATGATTAGTATGTAAAAATCTTTTTTTGTAATTTGTAAAGTAACTAAAGCAGTCAGATAAATGTGGTGGAGTAGAAGCAGGAAGTGGTATGAAAAGAAAAGGTACAGTACTGTATATTATAGGTATGTAGCATGGCAGTAAGACACAGCTGTTGATTTTTAAGGAACTGGGACTGAATCTTACGCCAATAGACAGTACTAATCTGTACAGCCAGTGTGTGTGCACCCTCAGGTTTCCACA